TTCTTTCAATACATCGAAGTGTTCCTTAAAATTCAATTTGTATGATTATTCTGAATATAACATTCGAACAAAACCTCTCAGACATCTCCAAGTTTCGCTGAACAATGAACCTCTTACATTGTTCGCAATTTATTACGTTTGGTTGATAAATTATATATCGCAATTCATAGTCAATCAACCGTCCGGGGATATGTCACAATGACGTCATTAGATGACGTGGTAGATTGCCGCCATAGAGATGTACTTACGTCTAACAGTCGGAAATAATGTAAGCGAATATATTAAACTCTTCATTATATTATTTTGTCGTTGTACATCAGACACATTTCACTTTTCAAGACGGAAACACGATGTCATGTCATGTGGTATGAAGTCACAGATATACTATATTTTTACCAGCCTGTAATTGCAACCGTACAAGAGCGCCGGCGTCGTAGCGTTACTTTTTTTCTCTCTTCTCTGGCAAACTAATAAACTTAGTCAAATACTCATACTCATCATGTCATCCTCCACAGGTGTCCCGCTAGCGTATACTGTTAATGCAGATAAGAGCATCATTCCGATATCATCCATTAAAAAACAATTGCTATTACATATAAACAATTCTAAGTAAATGCTATAATAATCTATATATAACTTCCATTAGTTACTAATATTATGTTATCTGTGCTAATATATTTTAATTTTAAGTTACCGAGCCTTGCCATAACAGTTTCGACTAGCGCGGGAAGTAGTTTCCTTACATTTAATTCATTTAAAAATTCCGTATAAAGTCCCTACTAAAAGTAAGCAGAAACTGTGTTAATGTTACTAGAAAACTGATAGAAAAATACATATGGTGGAATTATGTGATACAATAGACCTAATGTAATTATATCGTATCGGCCTGAACCCATGAAACTGTGGACCTATTATCACGTGACACAATGCACACCACGTGACCAGACAACAAAAGGCGGGAAACAGCGGACCGACAACAGCCCCGGGCGCGGATAATTGGCAAAATCGGCGGCTTTTCTCTGCCTAATTAGGTGTTCGAGGGGTATTTAATGTTTGTTTGTTGTATATTCATTAATATTTTACATGTAGGATTTAATAAAATTACTAATAATATAAATAAATGCCTGAAATGAAACGGTGTGCGAAAAGGAAGGAGAGAGGTTTGCTAGTAAGAAAAATCGAGAAAAATAAAAGAAGGTATTGTTAAATAGAATATATAGAGAAAATAAAAGAAAAAAACTAATTACTCGCCTCTACTATATCCCACAGCATACTTGTAGCGAAAAAACAGAATCTCTTTGTTAAATAAAAAGTATAAAACAGAAGCTTTTTGTGGAACAAAATTAAAAAAATAATGAGAATTTACATTAACTACAATATTTGAAATTTTGAAAATTCGACTTTAATTATTTAGCAATAAGGTAGATTTATAAAACATGTAATTTATCATTTAATACAATTTATTATTAAACATTCGAATCGAACACTTTGAATTATTTAAATACCAATTATATTTGTATCTGTTTAAAAAGTATTGTTTAGATACTTGCACGTTTTGGAATTGGCGCAAGACAGTTACGAATGGGGGTTCCTAATTTTTTCTGTCGGCCGCCTAACAATTCGTCACTGCCAACGTTTCTCGAGTTTGGAACCCTGTACTTTAGGCCAAAAAAATAGATTCTCTGTTTATTTCTATATGAAATATTAATGTATCTACTACGTGGCGTTTATTATCATAAACCTCCTAAAATGTCTATTACCAGTTCGATCTGATCGAAGAAAATATTCTTAATACATTTTTATTTTTTTACTTACGCCACGTAGTAGATACAGCATATATTTGTATGTATCTATGTAACCAATTTTATTCTGATGTGTATAACCGCCTTACTTAAATGTATGAGCCGTATAATGCCACTTAGTATTACAAAAAAAACTTAAAAGAAAATAATTATTGTATGAATTAAAACAGCTTTCCTTAAAACTTATGGGCCATGTTCTTGAGTGTCACCATCGTTTTATAAAAAAAAAACTTAAAACAAAACTATTTTTGTATGAAACTAAGTAAACTTATACAAATTAAAAAAAAAACCTACATAAAACTGTAGTGCCTAATATGAAATATGCGCTGTACTATATTAAACAAAATACAGATACAATAAATGTACAGCCAGAACCGATCATTTGTTTAAGACAATACTTGTTACGGAAGGTAGGATGGACTGTATTAGGGCTGGTTAAAAATGAGACACGTTCCTAGATGAGGTAAAATAGGTGTAATCAGCTCGCTAGCAAAAATATATCGACAATATGGCATAAGAAAACAAATAGTATATAAAAACAGAACGTCAAAATATAAAATTCAAATATATATAAAAAACATAAAAATTATCAAAAAGGTTGCCATCGGCAACAATACTCATGTCATGTCGAGAAGGTGAGTGAGTGGTGACGTGTTAGGATTTGGTACTAAGGATATTACATGTATTTGTATTTGTTCCATGAAAATTAAACTAAACTGGTAAACACTAAATGGTAAAACAATGTTGGTTGCCCTACCCGTTATACTCGAGAACGGGTGCTATGAATTATTTTGTTACTAAAGTAGCTATAATATTTATAATATTTAGCTGTGCCCGCGGTTTGTCGGAAATTTATAGCTATATAACATATAGATGTATAAGCTATATTACTGTAAAGTTTAATCAAAATCCGTTCAGTAGTTTCTGCGTGAAAGATGAACAAATATCCATCCTAACAAACTTTTGCATTTATAATAATAATAATAAGATTAGGATTTGGCAGTTTTTATTTACACAAAATCCTAAATATGTAACGCTGAACAACATTTATTAAAAATAGCAACTCGTAATGTCTATGCTTCTTCTTTTGACGTATCTATTTTCCGAATAGGTAGTACAATAAAAGCAGCACTTTTGAATAGTCATATGACAGACTATTCAAAACTGCTTATACTATATTAAGTTTATTTGAGTAATTATTGTTTCTGTTCAACCGTATTCTCAAACGAAGTCGCGTGGCGTAACTAGTGTTGAACAAACCGCCCTACAAGGAAAATGGAATTCAAAATGTTTCGTTTTTCCATTTCAAAGCCTATTTATAATTCAAAGAAATTTTTGAGGCAATCAGCACTTTTTACGGCTTTATTCTCAACAATGCAGATTTTTATTCTTATATTATAATTCTTGCCGAATGTGTTGTGATAAAAAAATTTAAACGATGAAACAGAAATTTTAAAAATATATAATAGTAGTAAATTCGAAAAAAAATAATAAAATATATATTTACTACTAATTAAAAAAGTCTTTATAAGGGGCCGTTCAAATATTACGTAAACACTATGGGGGCGCGGGGGGGTCTTTGCTTTGCTTATTTTGGATAACATGGGGGGTGGGGGGTCTAGATGATGATTACATCGGTAGTTATTTACTTTTTTCCACGAATGGCAACCCTCACATTGTGTTTGCTAAAAAACAATACATTAATTTAAAAATGTTTACGTAAGCATAGGGGGAGGGGGTAAAAGCTTAGCTTACTTTGCTGACAAGGGGGATTGGGGGTAAATAATTGTAATAAATCTGCTTACGTAATACTTGAACGGCTCATAATAATATGATCTAACAATAAACAAATTAGGATGATACTATACATTTATTTTCTATCTATATAAACATGAATATTTGACTGAAATAGTTATTTCTTTATTATGGAACAATTACAGCCGTAATATTTTTGTACAATATACTCCAAAAATAATTAGGAAAATCAATTCTAACCCTTTATTTATCACTATAACCTTCATAAGTATATATGAATATTAATTAATGCATATTTTAAAATTTTATATTATGTATTATATGATTAGTGGTCTCATAAAAGTATTTGTACAATATGATCACGTTTTAGTTATCAGAGTACAGTGGGGTAACATTTCATCAGTCGTTATTAACTTTTCATTATCGTTAGTCAATCAGTTCGAAAGACTCTTGGGTCACTAAAAGACTAATTTCCACTTCACAAAGTTTATTTGTTCGTAAATTTCATAGTTGACTATAAAAAGTCGTTTGAGGGGGCACCTACCTCAATCTCACATATTTCAGCCGCCAAACACCTTACGTTGTAAGGTGTGTTTTGGTTGTAGGGTCAGACTATAGGCAGTGCAATTACAGGATAAGAAGCATGACATATTATTCCTTCGGAATGGCAACACATCAGTCTTATCACGGAATGATGGCCGTGAACATTGATAATGTAATGTCCGTGGTGCAGTTCATATAGGCGATGACCGTTTATCAAGCAGACAATGAGGTTGTAATTCAATCCAATTAGATAAAAAAATAAGCAAACAAAAGGGGTCTCAAGTTTTTGTCATTTTATATTAAAAAAAAAGAAGAAATCAAAGTACTGAGCACTGGCAACTGTTGTTGTAAATGGTGTTATGAACTTCTCTGTGTCAATACACTGAGAAGTCTATGACACCTACTATGAGTGTAACATACGAGTAGTTGTAACACTCGTAGTAGATAGTAATAATATCTTGCTTAGGGAACAATTACTTTTCTTCAGATGGGCTCTCAATTCATTTATTACGCAGTCGCTTTTAAAATTCATATATACCTAGTGTTAATTAGATCTTATATATAGTTGCAGATTGACTTTTCTATTAATGTTAAAGGAATAGTAAGCATGGCAGCTATCTCTACGTTACGTTACGGTAAACCAGTAAAGTATAAATATAAAGTATGTGTGGTGTGGATAATTACAAATCCCTTTGCTTATTGTTGTGAAATTATCAGGTATTTATCACTATTGTCTTTAGCTGGAATTCATAGCAATAGTCAGTCCTCATCACGAAAAATTTTCTCCAACTTCCTAATCAGGTTCAAAATAGGTATAGGTAGGTGTTTGTTTTGTAATTTTTATTGAAATTCTAAAAATGTGTAAGAACTTCTATTCAGTCTGCACAAATAGACACTTACCGCAGCCAAATTCTAAATCCATGGAGCGTCGGCTAAATTTGCTTATTCTCTCCATGAAATCTTCTATTACATGCTTTCCAAAAAGATGACTCTACACATATACGGTCTAATTTACATACAACTCAAAATTATCCTTAAAATTATTATAAATATAATATTTATTTGTTTGTTGAAGAAGCTCACTTTTTATTCTACACATTTATTTGGCGCGACATGGGTATTAATCTAAATACGACATATAAACAACCATGTTGTGATATAAATAAAATTTATATTGCATTGGCGTGTTCACTAACTCTTTGCAATACGATAAGTCGCGTTTGGGCGGGCGGCGTGCGTGCACTACCGATGACGCAAGTACACTGAAGTGCTCGGACCTTGCGAAAAGCTTGGTATTTCGCAACGTATCCTTCTCAACCGTTTCATCCTTCTTCTTTAGACAATAGAGTACAAAATCCAATAATTTTGTCGACCGTTGGAGTTTCAGCAATGTAAACAAACTGGAAAACGTATGTATCAAGGCATCAACGGAAACAATGGTAGTTGTTGTTACCTCGTAAACTACTGTTTTGTACAATAGATTTTGATAAGTTACTTAGTTACCCTTCGGCTCTCTCGCTTTACTTGTTTCAAGTGGTTTCCAATGTATTTTTGGACGAAATAAGGGAAAATCATAACTCTTTGACACGTTATGTTGCATGCTTGTATGTTTCGATCATTATGTATTGTTTATAATTTTGTTAGATTTCTCCAAAGCAGAACAAAGTAATTTTACAATACATATCTTTCAATATTATTATTTAATATATATTAGTAAAAAGAACTGCCAACAAGACGGTATATATATACTACTGGAATAATTCGATCTCCATCCACATAATACGGACATGTGAATATTAAAAACAGTTTACTTGGGCCGTATGTTTGTTTGCCACTAACGTTGCAGGTATAAAAGGAAGTGTAGCATGTATACGTGTTTGGTTTTAATTAATCTTTTTAAAATTACACACTGAACTAATTTTGGCAATCAGTACTACTAGTAATAGTTCAGTGTTCATTAGTTCATCGTATATTTTGATTAGCTAAAGCTTATGTTATGGATAACTAGATAATTGATACAAATACATAGATATATTTTTATTATACATAGAAAACACCCAGACCGATTCAAACAATCATACTCATGAATATAAATGTTTGTGCCGTGCGAGAAATCGAACCCGCGACTATCAGAATTAAGGTGCTATGCTAAACCGCTAGACCACCGAGACCGTATTAATAATCTACTTTCAGTATTGTTAAGCATTAAAAGCCCTTCATATCAGGGAAGGGTACCGACCGCTCGCCTACGCGGTCGTAGCATAACGTCATAGACATTCTACCAAGCAAGCATTACGCATTATCTGCAACGCCGCATTTCAGTAATACCATAATGTAATATTATATTATCTGTGGTAATACCCTATGGTATTAAATATTCCTTTATATAAAACTTGCTGTCCCGCGCAACTTCGCCTGCATCACACTTACTTGACATTTATCATAATATTTCGCGCAATTAACATAATATCTTTTTAAATTATAGTCTGCGTATAGCATATACATTATGCTATATTACTGTAAAGTTTCACCAAAATCCGTTCAGTAGTTTTTGCGTGAAAGAGTAACAAACATCCATACTCACAAACTTTCGCGATTATAATATTATTAAGATAAGATAACTAACTAGGTGTCCCCCCAAACGTTGTTTCAAATTAATATCGCTATTAAAAAATAGGAGTTCGTGATAGAAGGGTGAAAATTTAGGGTTGTATGTATTTTTAATACCACATTGTAAAAATATAAAAAATATTAGAGGTGGACAGCCCTTATCACTTAGCGGTATGAAAAATAGATAGTCGCTAATTCTCAGACCTACTGAATATGAATAGAAAATTTCGGATTTAATCTATACATCTATACATATAAATAAAATTGGAGTGTCTGTTTGTAACATTGAAATAACCGTTTTTTACTACATGCATATAAATATAAATACGGTACATACATCAAAATAACATTTTTTACAATTTTTGTCTGTCTGTCTGTCGGTCTGTTTGTTCCCTTTTTTTCGCAGGTAGCTGATGTAATAAGGAGTAATTTAGGCTACTTTTATTTTAGAAAATTAAAGTTAAATACCACGCGGACGAAGTCGCGGGAATCACTAGTATGAATATAAAATCGGTCAAGACGTTTCGGAAGAGTATAGTTTTTAACATTGTGACACAAGAATTTTATATATAAGATTATAATTTTTTATATTAAGATTCTACTACTCTTCCAGCCTTATTCCTCTTAATTGGGGTCGGCTCTCCTAATCATTCGTCTCCAGGGGCTTCTTGTCTGGATCGTCATTGGTCTAAATTTTCACATGATATATATTTTTTGATGGCGGCAATCCAGGCAAGTTTTTTTTGTAGCGCAGGGGACAAACGAGCTTGCGGATGGTAAGTGATTACCGCCGCCCATGAGCACCCGCAACATCAGGGGAATTGCAAGTGCGTTGCCGACCTTTTAAAAAGGAATAAGCTCTTTTTTTAAGGTTTCAATATCGTATGGTTTCGGAAATACCATTGCTGGAAGGATTCCACAAGGTGCTTCTGCGTGGTAAAAAGATTCTAGATAACCGCCCTGTGAAAGACCGCCATTCATCCAGATGATCAGGATGGTATTTTAGTTTCTGACGGGTGGTGTGGTGGTGAAACTCAGCAGCTGGTATTATTCCGAACAATTCCTTAGAACACCCACCGTGATATATGCGGTAGAAAATGCACATAGATGCAATATCTGTCTGATCGATTCTGTCACAAAGATGTTGATTACCAATAATTCTGGCTGCTCGGTTCTAAATGCGGTCAAATGGAAGTAGCTGGTACAGTGGTAGTCCCGCCCAGTTGAGAACAGTATTCCATATGCGTTGAGATCTTCCACGCTTCTTTTGTATAGGATTGATGTTTAGTACCTTTCTAGTCGTATGGTCTTCTGGTCTTTTCATGACGTGATCGTACCAACGTAATCTGGACTCAAAAATTTATCCTGGATAGTTCTTACTTTAATCGTTCCATGTATGTAACGGTTCAACATCTATTTCTACACGTGTAACTCCAGGAAGCCACTTTTTGTTTTTTTTATTGTTGCTTCTTTAAATAGTCTAGATCATTAGAAAAGACATAGGCTACGTTTTAATGCGAAAAAAGTGTTGTAAGGGATTGAAAGTGGATATAAATATTGTATGGAAGTATTCATATGGAAGTCATTTTTAAATTTAGCAGCTTGAAACTTATTTTTTAGGGTGTTAATTTAATACAAATAAATATGACATTCAAAGTTTCTAAAAAACTTACATACTTAAGGGTGCAAAATAAAATAGGGTATGAAAGTTTGTACGGAAATTGGTCATTTTTGAATTTAGAACTACGAAACTTTTTTCTTTGGTTTTTTGGGTTAGATTATTAAATTTTTCTTTGTTTGTTTAAGGTCACTATTAAAGAAGTAGCACAGCTAGTGATTTCATATTTAATGGTGGGAAGAAATAATATAAATACCGTACCCTCTTTGTGTACTCTATATAAGTATTAATAAATACAAGTATGTAAAAATTCATGATCCCGATAATAGGAGTAGTGGAGATGGATCAATGTGATTTTGCATTAAGGTTAAATGGTCGGTAAAGGATTATGGGCTGTAGGCGTGACCTCGATAAAACAAAACGTCTCTTTTACGACCGTAAATCAAACCTTACCACGTAATAGGTACTTTGTACGAGATAATTCGGCTAACTTTTTATTACCAACGTCCTACTGTAAATTGCTGTATCAACAAATAATAGAGCATGCTTGTGATCTTTTATTAAACACTAGGTATATTCCACGGTACCGCTTAGAATATCTAATATATAAAATTCTCGTATCACAGGTTTCGTGTTTATACTCTTCCGCAACGGCTTGATCGATTTTGATGAAATTTTATATGTATATTCATTAGGTCTGAGAATAGGTTTATAACTAATTTTTATACCCCTAAGGGTGGCTCACTGTAAAAAATTTTTTTCATTTTTTCGACACAACTTTTTATTCCTTTTTTTTATAATGTGACATTTAAAAATACATACAACCCTAAATTTTCTGCCTTCTACCATTAACCATTAACCCCTACTTTTTAATGGCCATTTTAATTTATATGGCAAAACAACGTTTGCCGGGTCAGCTAGTCCTAATATAAAAATTTTGATCATGATGACCTACTGTCCTCTACATATGAGATGAAATTTAATATGTATAGGTCAGTAGGCCGCAGAATAGGTTGTTATCTATTTTCTATATCCTTAGTGATAAGGGTGGCTTACTCCAACTATTTTTTAATTTTTGGTATTTTTTTTATTATTATTCAGCTTTAAATATACATACAAATCTAATTTTTCACCTTTCTACTATCCACCTTTATTTTTTAATAGCGATAATAATTTATATGAAAACAACGTTTGCCGAGTCAGCTAGTTATGTATAATAATAAACCCCGGCAACTCACACAGCGCTATCTAGTCCCAAGCTACTGCTTAGCTTGGGACTAGATGGCGCTGTGTGCTTTAGTTATGTCCTACTGATATAAATACTTTCATTTTTTAAACAGATACGTTCATATCCAGACCAATACTAGCACTCATATGCCACAAATACAAGCACTCGAAGCCATGACCATCGGAAGTAAGGCAGTGAGCTGAACCGCTAGACTACCGTTGTCTTTGGCAAATTTTGTATTTCATCTTACGAGGCTATATATTTTAAGGATGGCAACCCTGATCGTTGTACTTATACGAGGGTATGTAAATATTTAGTCCAAATTCATAAAGTATTTTGTGTACATTTCAAATGTTAACGTGTTCGAATCCGTTCCATATATATATCATAATATATGTAGCGTCTATGATACATCACATGCCGATACCACACGTCATACACACACGTGTTGTCCGCAAATCATAACATTCGAAGCAATGGAACGGGATGTGACGTCACTATGCAATGGCGTTCAAATAATATGATACAAATCTATACATCTATACATAAATAAAATTGGAGTGTCTGTTTGTAATATTGAAATGTTGTATGTTAGTGTTTTACACCGGAGAGTTATAAATATAAATTGACACGCAAAAAAAATTGTTGTCAATCAGATTCAAACCCATCTCTCGTATTACTTTCTTATGTTGTCGGTATTCCCATCACCGGTGAATTAGTCAGAAATATAAATTCACGGCTGTGGCGTACACGTCGAACTCTAAGCCATAACGTATTGAA